TGTGTGTGTGTGTGTACATAAATAGAAAAAAAGCGCGCAACTTTAATGCTTTTTTATTTACACTAAAGTCAGTTTTTATTTTTTAAAGTGCATGCCCAGTTTACTAGGAAAAGCAAAATGAAAGGAAAACTAGTCCCTTTGCCAGTGTGGGGCTAAGCCAAGGGGCAAACAATGAAAAAATGCAAATCATTCTCTAAAGAGAATCCTTACATTTCTTTTCCTAAGAAAAATAAATTAAGAGTCTTATAGCCAAATAACAAAGTGGCATTGGGAGAAATTTTATTAAGTAGATTTTTTAAAGTGTAATTTTTAAAAATATCGTTTTATTGATTTCAGAGAGGAAGGGGGAGAGGTAGAAACATCAATGATGAGAATTATTGATTGGTGCCTCCTGCACACCCCCTATTGGGGATGGAACTCACGGCCCAGGCATATGCCCTGACCTGGAATCAAAGGTGACCTGGTTCATAGGTTGATGCTCAACCACTGAGCCGAACTTCCCGGGCTAAAGTGTAATATTTGCTTCATTCTGGAAGTTATTTCACTTTTGATTATGTATAAGTAAATGCAGATATTAGAAATAAGAATTTAAGAAGTGAGTTTTGCTACAAACATACTAGACCGCTAGCTAGCTAGGCAGATTTTTTTTTATTTAAAATAAGCTGTTTGTTGGAGACCGACTCCCTTTGGTGTACACACACACATACCATGCTCATGCCCTAGATTTGTGTTGTCAGATGAGGCACTGAAATGGTGTACTAACAAGTCAGATCAGGCACCAAAATAGTGGTCTAACAACCAAGATGATTTTGCCCTGGGGCTTGAGTCTTACTCTTGCTGCCTGGGCAAATCATCTGTTTATAAAATGGAATTGTTCGCTCAATCGGTGTTTCTCAAATGAAGGCCCATTTGGGGTTCTCTGAATGTTTTTGGAAGCAGTGTTCTAAGTGTGTCTTCAGCTTCTGGATCACACCTCTGAGTTGCCCCCAGGGGCTCCAGTGGCGGCTGTCTCTCCAGCTTTGGTGGTGCAGAGTGACCCCTGCTGGTGGCTGTGTGGAACTGTCATTGCCTGTTTGCCGCCATTGGCGGCTGGATCCCAAGCATGTGCAGAACTGTTTGAGTCCTCAATTTTGGTAAATGCTGATTGGTGCTAAGTATACATTATTGTTTCTTTATTTTCACCCCCATATTGAACAACTACAAATCCAACCAGCATTTGTGTGTATATATCTATAGACAGGATTTTAGGCTAGTCGAACACTCTTCAGATGGTTACCCGGAAAGATTGACCTGAAGAAAAAGTGTTCAGCACGCAGACGAATTTAGGAAATGCTGAATTAAACTTCAACAGGTATTTTTACTGCAAACCTTCTGAAAACTGTAAAAGTGCTATATGTGCCCTGTGAATCTCTAAAAAGTGGCTGTAGCATTCAACATTTCCCAAGATGGTGTGTTGTAGAAACCCCTGTTATCACCTGTAAAACACCGGTTTTGGGAAACAGAGATTTTGAGTATGATGGAACCATCATGAACCTGTTCATCTGTGTCTCAGACCTTGTCGAGAATTTTAAATAAAGCAATAGAACATTTTTGGTGGTTCTGCTATTAAATTGTTTTTCCAACCTAAATAGTTCAGGCAAAGCATGCTGCAGTACCTCTGAAAATATCTCAGCAATCTTTGAGGTAATTTGTTAAATCTGTTTACTTTCTAAATCTTTGTTTAGAAATAGTCAACTTACTTATAATCCTTGCTGGAGAATATCCCTTTATTGTTTTGTTGAAATACTAACATTTTTTCAATTATTTTAGCAAAATATGTTATATTGAAACTATGGAAAATATTAGCCTCACATGGATTTCTATTCAGGAAACAAGTAATCTTTATTAACAAACCTCTTGGCTCACCATCATATCTATAAATGACAATTTTTTTTTTTTTACATTGGCATGTTTCATTCTCAAACTTAACATTTTTTTCTTAGAGATTTTTAGAGGGAGAAGGGGGAGAGAGAGAGAAAGAAAGAGAAGAGAGAGAGACATCAATGTGAGAGTAGAACATAGTAGTTTGGCTGCCCCAACCATGGATCAGGCCCACAAACTGGGCATGCACCCTGACTGGGGTTTGAACTGGCAACCTTTTGGTGCACAGGAGGACACCCAACCAATTAAACCACAATTAAATGTACAAACTTAACATTTTTATAATATATAGTTGCATTCTTGTGTGCTTTAAGTGTATTTGAAAATCAAAACCATGTCATGCATGTACAACTGTTGTACAAATTCTTACAGGTGTTAATTTCTCTGATTTAGTTATGTGTTGGAATTTAAAGTTTTTGTCTTTATGGTTTCATCTGGTAAGAGAGATTTATAAAATGTAATTTTTAAATTAATCCTCAGGACAACTCTGCAGAAGTGATCAATTTTGTTCTGTTTTACCAATAATGGGATGCGGCTCAGTGGTTAAGTGAGCAGCCTGAGTTTACTGAGGACTACCACCGATGGGGTGTGAGTGCAAGAGCAGATGGTCCCAGCCACTCTGCAGGACAGTGACTGCTGTCTGACCCCTTTACAAAGTGGACATCCCTTGTGATTCTATGTTATTTGAACATTCTAATGCTGGAAAGAGTGTAAATAGGTTGCCTAGGAAGCTAGAAGATGTAAAAGTAATTATGTGCAGAACTTAATATTCCTTCAAGTGCTGTTGTATAAAAACATTTTTAACCTCTTGTCTCAAATCCATTTGAAGGACTGTTTGTATTACCAAACTGAATGTGACAGATAAACAACCAAAAACTTTTTTGATTTGACTGACACAGTCAACAACTGTCTGGACTCAAAGCAGATACCCATTGGAAAATTTATGAGCCTTCTAAATTGTCTTATGTCATCAGTTTGCTTCTCTTCACAGCGCAAATTAAATTTGTTTTCTACATATCTGAATCTTTCTGAATCTTTTTCTCTTTTTCTAGGAAAATAGCACACGAATTAACTTCGATATAAAAACATGGGTAACATTTACATTTGTATTAGAAGCACAGGATTTTCCTCAGCCTCAAGAATTTTTGAGCTGGCTTATATCCCTGCAATTTCTCAGTACTTTGTTTCACATACCAGTTTCCTTCTTAAGCAGTATTTCCCCAAGTAGCCTTCCCTATTAACCCAGAAAGGCCTAGAAGACATGCCACTCGTATGGCAAGTCATCCTGCAGCTGTGCAGCTCACTGTGAAAGGGTAGTGTGTGGCCTAAGGAGGGTTTTGAGCAAAGCCACGCCTCCCTCTGCCTGACAGTGACAAGGCCTGCTGGATTTGCAGCATGGTGGGGACACAAAAACACTGGCAGAAGGGCCTCTTCGAAATGGGATTTGGTGAACCTGTGTACAAACATACTTCTATATACCAGCTTATTAAGTAAGGCTTGTGACAAAATTCTAAGTACTGCATTTGATTATAGCATTGAAGTTATTCTCAGGCCTTTCCCTTTATTGGTGTAAAAAAAGATATGTATAGAAGCTTATGCTGTGTAACATAAGATAGAGCGTGATTTTCTTACCCCTGAGATAACAAAGGAGGAGGTGAGCACCTCAGTTATGGTGTTATGGTTTCCCAGCGGGCTTGTGGTTGATACCTTTCCTGGTCTGTGAGACTGGCTGGAAGGCTTTACAGATGTGCAGACTGCAGCCAGGAGGCTTGGCCAAGGCCCGAGTTCCCTCCCCCGTGGCATGCTGCCGTGGCAATGACAGAGGTTCTCTCTGGACATGAATCATGTTTTATGAGCCCTCCTATCGAGCTTTGACAGTAATGGTTACTCTTGTTCCGTTCATAGCAGTAAAAGCTTACCATACTGGTGGAAACTGTTCTTTAAAACCAAACTGTGGAAACACTGGTGTTGGGCTGAACGTTCCCATGATACAGAGATGAACAATAAGTGCCCTCTTATAATTCAGTGCACTTTTAGGAAGGCAAATTAAAGACAAAGCAGGAAAAACAAGATCAAGCAAGTTACACCACCTGCTGTGTAATTAGCACGTGTCAACATCAAGGGTATTTTTTAATGGAGAAATATTTGTCATTACCACTTGCAGGTGTTTGTTTCTCTGGTAGACTATATCCTTCCGCAAATTACATCTGATATAATTTTTCAAAAATATAAATGATGTATGTTATAGTGTTATGTAACCTTTGATACTATTTTAAGAAAATATTGTTTTCTTCCTGTATCCTTAAATAAGATTTGATTCTCTTTTTTCCCCCCTCACATTTTAAAGTAAATATTTGAGTTTCTCAGTTATTTTCTAAAGTACCCATTTTGTGGCAAACACACTGGAGACACACTGTCCTGAGCCAGCAGTTGTGCCGGGAGCTCGTTAAGTGCCATAAACTTCTCTCTGACATTGTGAACCCTTTTCTTCTAGGGAATGAAGACTAGTTTTCATAAAAGAAACAAGTAATAAATTTCACTTCTCCTAAACCATATGTCATAATATCTTTTAACTGTCACTGTAGAGTTAAATGTTTTAATTGCCAGTTTTTTTGTGTGTTTTTTTTTTTTTTTTTAATTTCAAATACTTCAGGTTATATGTACTATATAGTTTGACATGTCTTTCAAGATTCCTGGGATAATAAAGCTTAAGGTTTTGTTGACTTGGATATTTATTCCCAAATACCCAGAGTACTATGGGCAGAATCTTTAACACACCACCTGCGGGAAAATTCTGGATTTAGTAGATCTATAATCCAGATTTAGAAACAGAAGCTTAACAAATTAGAAAAAGGCTGTTTTCTTTTTTCTATAATGCTTTAGGCATGAAAAAAAAATTAGGTTCAATAGACAGAGATGGAGAAAATTGGTGAAGTTGCCCTTCGCTGTTTTACTTACAAAGTAATTCATATAATGCCCAGTCCCTGGAATTTAATCTTAATATGTAGATAGTGTTAATATAGTGAAGTTGTTCTTAGCTTTGCTATGGTATTCACCTTGGGTATTTTTTTTAATGATAGGTTCACGTAAAGAATCTGCTCCACAAGTTTTGCTTCCAGAAGAAGAAAAAATTATAGTTGAAGAAACTAAAAGCAATGGTCAGACAGTGATAGAAGAAAAGTAAGATGTATTCTAGTATTAAAATGCAGTCATGTGGGTCTGTGTGTGGAAGGGGTGGTTTGTGAAGGGCGTGTGTGTGTGTGTGTGTGTGTGTAGGGGTGGGGGCATGGGTTGGTGTGTGTAGGGATGAGGCATGGGAGGGTGTGTGTGTGTGGAGTGGGGACATGGGTGTGTGTGGAGGGGTGGGGGCATGGTGGTGTGTGTATGGAGGGATGGGGCATGAGGGTGTGTGTGTGGAGGAGTGGGGATATGGGTTGTGTGTGTACAAGGGTGGGGGCATGGGTTTGTGTGTAGGAGTGGGGACATGGGTGTGTGTGGAGGGGTGGGAGCATGGGTGTGTGTGTATGTAGGGGTGGGGGCATGGGTTGTGTGTGTGTGGAGGAGTGGGGCATGAGAGGGGGGTGTGGGGAGGGGAAGGGTGGCATATTGGAGTCAGAAAAATTCCAGGAGGGTTGTGGTGTGGCTTCGGAAACTACTCCTTTATGTCCTCGTAGGTGGGAGTTCACGTTGACTAGGCTCTGACTGCCCATGGAAAGCCGTGTATGAATTTAGGTGTTTCGAGAGCGGGTGGAGTAGCCGTTTATTTCATCTGGCATGTCCTGAACTGCTTCTCTCCGTCCTCTTCATCCCGTGTCCTTGTTCAGGTGTTCATTCTGTTTTCTGTTCTAGGAGTCTTGTTGATACCGTCTATGCATTGAAGGATGAAGTCCAAGAATTAAGACAGGTGAGTTATAACCAATTTTTAATCTTTTTTTCTTTTTTTTAAATGGAGGAAAAGAGGAAAACACTATGTTGAGAATGAAGCTGGATATCCTTAAGCAAAATAATGCAGAAAGGAGCCCGCTGGAGTGGCTCAGTTGGTTGAGTGTCCCATGCACCAAAAGGTTGTGGGTTCAATCCCCAGCCGGGGTACTGATCAATATTTCTCTCTCGTGTCAATGTCTGTCTCTCCATTGTTCTCTCTAAGCATGTCCTCATCATTTAGAATATCTAAAATTCAATCTAGTTAAACGTTAACTACCTACTGTGGCTATTCTCTGCCACGTTTTAACAGCTAGTCGCTCAATTTATATTTCTTTTCAGCCAGCCAGACTAAGCTTTGAACAAAGAAAATTCATTCTAAAATGCTACCAGAAGTTTGAAAACGCAGTTGAAATACAAATACTGCCTTTAAAATTATTCAAAGTATGTATACAGTTTTGGGGGACACAGGGTACTCCCAAAAATGTATATAAACTTTAATAGCTGATAACTTAATTTTCACTCTTTTTCAGGTTTAACTAATTTGAAATAATAGGTGAAACCAGATTAAACTTTTTTTTTTTTAGATATATTTTATTGATTTTGTACAGAGAGGAAGGGAGAGAGAGAGTTAGAAACATCGATGGGAAAGAGTCATCGATCAGCTGCCTCTTGCACACCCCCTACTGGGGATATGCCCCCATCCAAGGTACATGCCCTTGACCGAAATCGAACCCTGGACCCTTCAGTCCCCAAGCCGACGCTCTATCCATTGAGCCAAACCGGTTTCGGCCAGACTAAACTTTGAACAAAGAAAATTTATCCACTTAACTTTTTTACGGGGATACATAAAAGATAAAGTTTACAGTACAAATCTAGCAGCAGTTGATGATTGAGGGTGCACAAATACCGAACGAAATAATTCTTGATGTTTTGCAATTCCATTGCTTCACGTTATCAGCAGTGCCTGGACCAGAACGGCGCTGACAACAAATATTTGTTCATTTCTGTAGCTTTTTTAAAATATTGAAAATGAACTCTCTTAATGAACACCGATTTTGTAATCATTCAAAGTGTGTATACTTTTTTGGGTCACCCTACGTATTATTTGTACAAATGGCTTTGGTCTCAGGAGGGAGCCGTTAAGTGTTGCTTCACAGGCCGGAGGTGAGAGGGAGGCTGAGGAGAAGCAGAGCACAGCATGGTCCGGGGCAGGACGCGCCCTGAGCTGCCTCAGCCATCCCCGCAGCATCCCGGCAGCTTCCAAATGCTTGTCTTCCTCAGAGGGGCTTCCGGGTTTGTGCTGCCCCCTTGGCCAGGGATGCATCTTCGCGTGTGCACCTTCTCCATGCGGAGGAGTGATTAGGTGCAAACTGTACGGAAGTAGGCGCCTATCCACACACTCTGTATTTATTCAGCTGCTGTTACTTCCATCCCCACATAACTCTCTAAGATCTTCACAGGTGGGAAAGGAGGAGGTGATGGGGGCAAGTTGATCCTTTTGCTGTTTCCAGCCATTTTCTTTTTTGAATTTTTTTCTCTGTTGATTAAGGTACTATATATGTGTTCAGCCATTTTCTTAAGATATGTGTACAGAGATTGTCTCATTCAGTAATCGGAACTTAAGTTGTCAGTGGCGTTAGGACTGTTTTTCCATCTGTGATTTGTCTTGGCTCCCAGGAGCAACTGCGGTCAGGAGCCCCGAGGGTCTATGGAGGTGTTGGGGCAGTCATGTCGAAGGTACCCATGACCACAGCACAGGGCAGATCCCAGCCTCCCGGGGGAAAGAAAGTCCTCTCCAGGGCCAAACACACCGAGTGTCCTATCTGCTTCGTTGGCAGGATAACAAGAAGATGAAGAAATCTCTGGAGGAAGAACAGCGAGCCCGCAAAGACTTGGAGAAGCTGGTGAGGAAAGTTCTAAAGAACATGAATGACCCTTCCTGGGACGAGACCAACCTCTAAGGAATGTCCACGGTTTTTTCTCGAAGACCAGTTAGGAGACTCAGCTGGGACCCTGGGGCAGGGCTGTGCGTACAAAAGCTGGAGTTCAGGCGAATAGAAACACATTGTTCCTGAAGAGTCCAGACATGAGGTATCGACACCGAGGGCAACTGCATTAATCTTACCCTGCTAACATCTCAATTACCTCATTTTGCAATAAGTGCAGTGACTGACTACAAATCCTGGTCTTTCATCCGTTTATTGAATCTATATAAATGTTATACATACATGTTCCTTGTAAATACCCCATTTTGAATGCATATCCCTGATGGCTATATCTGATACCCCTGCTAGAACTTCCTTCCCACTAACCTTTCTGGTCCCCTGACCTAGAAGTTCTAGTGTTCACGCACACACGCATGGAAAGCAGAGGTGCGTGGCTTGTGGTAGATGCCTGACTTCTCCTCTGCTGTAGTTCCTACAGTGCCCTGAAAACACTTGCCCCTTTGGTTGCCTAACTAATTTAACCTTATTTATAGCTGCAAAGACACTTGAATGCCATTTGAAAGTCTTCTGTTAAAGCAGTATTGCAGTCACCGACGTGGGTGTCTCTGAGTGCCGTGCTGTGGCTGATGGAGGGTCTGGGCCTCAGCCACGAATCCCAGGAAGTCCCACTCACATCACCGCATCCAGCTGCAGGTGCACCCTCGCGTCTGCTTTGTGTGGATCCTGTGGTCACCAGAGTATTCACTGCACTTGGAGAGATCATACATACTTGTATATGTAGATTAGCTTAATAACATGACCAAGTGCACTGTTTTGTCCTCAAAAGAGAGCACTTCACTAGAACCTGTAAATAAAACGTGTTGTTGCACATCCCTGCGGCGAAGACAAAGCGAGGAGGTGCTATGGGTAGGGCTCCCGTGTCAGCCAGCGTCAACCCTGAGCTCTGCCGTACCGTCAGGGCAGCAAGCACTACTGCAGAGCTCACCGGGAAAGAGAAGAATAAGCAATATCCACCTTAAATCCCACCTAAATAACGAAAGTGTAAATGTGGATCCATTCCCTCCTTGTATCCAAACTGCAGAGCAGACGGAGAAGGAAGCCGGCCCCAACCTGGCTCCGCAGCCCTTGGGCCGGGGCTCTAGAAGCCCCGGCAGGAGCAGCCTCGGAGCCCTGCTTGTCCTGGCGCTATCACAGGGACTGTGCTTTCCGTTTCCGCTTCTGAAGAGGTTGTTCTAGTGAGATGACTTCTTGGCAGGTCAAGTGTTACATCGTTAGAAAGCAGCACTGCATTACAGACCTCTCACAAATATGATACGACATCAGATGTGACCTATGATTTGCATCCTATTTATTGGTCTAGTGACCCTTGAATCTTTGATGCCTGTGGACCGGGCATCTTTGGAACGAGTTGGTTTTCTGGTTGTCCATGGTCCTACTTCCGTGCCCTTGCTCATCGGTCCCTGTGCCCGCCCATCTCCCTGCAGGGTGGTCCTGGAGCCGGACCTCCCGCGGCCAGCTCCGCAGGTGTGTCTGGGCCCACATTGACCTGTCCACACTTGACTTTTCAACTAGAATTGCCAACTCTCTCTTCTAGCATTCATTAGTGTTAGGACTAGAAAACTGTCATTTTTTTGTTAAGCCCTGTTTTTACAGTAGTATTTTTTGGTGATGCATAAGACGTTGCAGTGAAAAACAATTACATTTGAGTGTACTGAAGTTTGCTGTCTTTAAGCAAATTTTAACTCAGGAACAACATTCAGCACCTGATCTCTCCACCACTTAGTGACGAGCGATGTTGCAGCCAGCATCCCAGACGGGTCTCTTGCAGCAGCTGCCTTAACTAAAGCGACAAGTGGGAACTCGTGTTTTCCCTGTCCCTCCCCTTCCCCCGGCGGGGTGATGGTTGAGGTGCCCGTGTAATGCATTACCTTTCTTCCCCAGGATCCAATATTTTACTAAACTTTTTAGGGAGCAGAGAAAATGCATCTGAGAGCAATTCTTCTACAAACCTGCCCTCGTTATAAACAGACTGTCTCTCCCGGTGACAACCTTCTGAGGGTGTGGGAGCTGAAGACAGTAGAAAGGGGCACTGTTGACCCTAAGGGTTACTTCTCTGCTCTCACCTTTCTTGGATGAGGAGACGAAGCCATTCCTATCCTGAGATGTGAAGCACTTTTATTCCCACACGATACCGACGTGTGGCACCAGAAGCTCTGCCCCCGTGCTCGGCAGAGCGTGCCTGTCCACGTGTGCCGGGGCCCGGGCCTGGAGCGCTCCGGCTCCGGCGGACTCCCTGCCGCCCTTCACGTCTTCCTCCGGGACGCAGAGGCCCCGTTACAGCCCCGGGGACACCGCGCAAACGCCGCCTGCTGTCCTGGCGCTGACGACTCCTACTCTGTTGTTGTAATTATTAAACTGATTATTTTTTTCTTACGTTACAAACATGTCACTTCATTTTCCATAATGTGTGTGTGCGTCAAGTTACCTTTGCACTTTATTTTGACTGTTTTATATTGTTTAATTCTGGGGTGAGTTTTGGACACTGGAAAATAACAGTTTGCCTTTAAAATCTAGGGTCTGGGAGGATTTGAAGATACAGGATTAGGCGATGGAACTGACACTGTTAGGTACAGCCTCCACTTCGTCACATTTATAATGACTCATCCTGGGAGGTGCTGTAAACCAGGTTGGGGGGTTGAACAAGTGACAGCATTTTTCAAGATTCCTGGGAAGCGCTTGCAGGACAGGCACGCCAGCAGAAAGTTGTCCGTTACAGTCTTGCCCTTTCCCGACACTCCCTCCACGCAGGGCCTCCCTGGCCAGCTAAGAGGGCTGGAAACAGCACGATGTGCACTGCCAGCCTGGGAGCATGTAGGAAGTTCTTCCCTCATCCTGACCTGACTGTCTGCAAAGACCCTATTTCCACATAAGGTCATAAGCACAGGTCCTGGGGATCAGGACTTGAACAGATCTTTTTTTGTGGGGGAGACACACAATTTAGCTGGTAACAGTAGGGAAGGTGGACTCACCGATTCAATAGGGCCCGATTCCGGCTTAACCCACCCTTCCACAAGCGAGGCCGACCGATGCTCCAGGTCATTTAAACCTCATCATGTGTAACTCATAAAGGTTGTAAAGGATCCCAAGGGGACTTTTCCTATTTCAGAAAACCCACAACAACGTCTGCATTTTCCCATGGGATGACAGCGCGGCCCACAACAGCAAATGTCCTGCTTTTAGCTGAAATGAAGTGGGTAAATGCAGTCGCTACTGTGTTTCCCCGAAATAAGACATCCTCCGAAAATAAGACCTAGCGCAACTTTGGGAGAAAAAATATAAGACACTGTCTTATTTTCGGGGAAACGGGGTAGTGACGGGGACAGGACTCCAGGCGAATACAGGGAGAGACGAGGCCCCACCACACAGCTCCCCCTCCCGTGGACTGTAAGCTCTGTTTGTCCTTAGGGGCCTGGCCGCTGGTCAGAGTGGACAGCGGCTTCAGGCAGTCCTGGCCGTCACCCTGGCAGGCCTGGGGCAACATGTCTCCCCAAACAGCGGCACTCTGCAGGTTTCAGCCTCCCAGGTGGGAGTGCAGTGGCGTCCCCTTGTCCTGTGGCCCCCGTGGGTCCTGATGGCGGAGGGGGAGGCACCCTTTCCTTTTCTCTCGGGCCCCTGCAGCGGCTTCTCCCCCTGGAGGCTCCCTGCCCTCGTGCCCTGGGCAGCCCCCACACTGCCCCCTAGCTGCCATGTCTGTCTGCACTTGGATAAATCCTTTGGGATCTCAGGGCCACTTTCTGGAAGCCTGTTGTGAGCATCAGCCTCCCACCCGAGGGCTGTCCCAGCTCCCGGGCGAAGCCCAGCCTTAAATGACCACGCTTGATTCACTGTCTCCGTGAACTCCCGGAAGTTTTCCGAGACGTTAACCTGAACGTGAGCCGCGGTTTGTGTTGGCTGGCGGTTGAAATTCCCAGGAGGGGGGAACCCCACTGCTTCGGTCTGGGAACCTGAGAGGGTGCGACCACTGGGATGGTTGATAGTAAGAGAGGCTGGGTAATTTCTCCTCCCTCTGCAACCGCTCTCATGAGTCCTTCCTCATCTGTTCTCACATCTCTTTCCCGCTTACGTCCTGCCAGTACAACCGCCCCGTCCTGCAGAACCTCGAATTGGCCAAGTACAGCGTCCCTGCTCCTTGCCCCAGCAGCACGGCCAATGCAACACACCAACCAGCAGCCAGGTGCTCCCAGGGCTGCCCCTCCGAGAGCCCCTCCTGATGACACTCCCTGCCTCTGGTGCAGGACACGTGTTCTCTCCTCTTCCCTAAGACGAACGCTGTTTACTCTCATCTCAACACCACGCCACGCTGTGCCTTCCACCACCTGGTCTCCCAGCCGCCTCTTCCAGTTTGCAGGCTCCGTCCTCGCCAGCCCAGGTGCCCCTCCCGTGCAGGCTCCCCTGGGTGCTCTCCCGCATGCTGACGGCACTCTGATTCAGCTGCCCACAGTGCATGCCCCACCTGGACACAGACACAGCATCTGCTCGGCCGCTCCACCTGGGTTCTCACACCTATCTTCCCTGTGGTGGGCCACCTTCTAGCCTCTCGGGAGAATCCTTAGGCTCATCCCTGACCTGTTCCCACTCACAGATCTGTCAGCCAATCTCATGGACTCTAAAACACACAACATTCAACCAGTGACTGTCCCGGTCCCACCCTTACTTTTCTCCCAGAGGATTACACTATTCCCCACGTTTACTCTTGCCTAAGGTGACCAGATGTCCCTGCTTTTGGGGGGACAGTCCCAATTTTTTAACAATTTTTTACAACGCCGCGGGACAAATGGTTAAAAAGTGGGACATCTGGTCACCTTACTCTTGCCTCCTCGTCTTATTTTCCACACAGCCAGAGAGATGCTAACATGTAATCCAGTTTCCCACCTGCACAGAATCCAGTCCTAGCGCCCTACGTAGTTCTCTTAGTGAAGGCTGAAGTTCGACTAGTATCCTACACCCTTGCTTGTGATTCAGTCTCTGAGCCGTCTCTCTCTTCATCCAAGCCACCCTGGCCTCCCGGTTCTCAGATTCTCCAGGCCTGCCCCAGGGCCTCTGCACTGGCTCCTCTCAGGCTGGCACGTGCTTCCTGGGTGCCCACATAGTGCCTTCCCTTACTTCCTTCTAAACCTGCTCGGCTGCCGTCTAGTTCTGAGGCCGCCTGCTTGCCCCCCATTCCGGGCATGGCCTGGAGGTGTGCTCTGCTTTCCTGTTCTCACAGCATGTGTCTGACCTGCATGTGTGTGCTGTCTCCTTCCATGGAATACACATCCCCGGAGGGTGGGGGGCACTTTTGTCTGTTTCGCTCACGTTGCGTGCCAGCAGTGCCAGCAGAAGTGGGCTCTCTACGAAGGAGGCCGTGGAGTAAGGACCACAGGACTCAAACACTGGTTCCAAAGCCAGGCCTGGTGTCCCATAGGAATGGGGTGGGTGTAATGTCTGGAGGAGGGCCAGGTGTTCATTTTTTGTTTATTTTACATTTTCATTGATTTCAGAGGGGAAGGGAGAGGGTGAGAGAGATAGAAGCATCAATGATGAGAGAGAATCATTGATTAGTTGTTTCCTGCACATCCCCCACTGGGGATCGAGCCCACAATCCGGGCAGGTGTCCTGACTGGGAATCAAACTGTGACCTCCTGGTTCATAGGTTGATGCTCAACCACTGAGTCACATCGACCAGTGAAGGCAGGGTTTTTGATGCCTTGCCTGCCCGTAAGGCTCTCCCACCCTCCTCGGCCCTGTACGCATCCTGCCTGCCCTGCAGTGGCCAGTGTCGCAGTCCTGCCTCTGTGTGATGTCAGGGGGCTCTGTGACGTCACAGCAGGTGGGGTGGCCCAGCCACTCACTCCGCACTCTGCTCATCAGTGGCCGCAGGAGGGAGGAGGTGGCCAGTCTCTCCTGTCTGATCCTGAAGTCTGCTTGGAGTGTAGCTGGGAAACCTGTGGCTGGGGCTCAGCTGGGCCCATGACGGACAGGTGAGACCGGACGCAGCCCGGCTGCCTCAAGGTCTGGCCTAATTTCTCTCTCTCCCAGGTTCCCTTAATCCCTCACCTGTCCTTCAGCTGCTGCGATGAGATATATGCCAGAATTCAAAAAGTCCCAGTCGCACTCCCTGAGGAATTTTGCAGGTAAGGAGAAGAGAACATTAAAGGGGCCTGTTTCAACCCAAGGTGTGGGTGATTAGCACCAGGCTGAGAAGGGAAGGCAAAGAAACTTGTGTTTTAAAATAATGTAGGAAAATAATGTAGGAAAATGCTATGAAGCCCTCATTATTTTAAAGTTTCATTGCAAAACCCCCTGAACCTGAGGTTTTCAGCATAAGAAATATAGTTAGCTATTTCACAAGGGGTTAAAGGATTCAAGATGTTTTCCTAGGACATGCCAACCATATATTTTAGCTACTTCGTAACTTTTATGGCAAGAGTGATTGTTTTTTTAAAAGAAAAAAAAATATTTTTTAACTGAAGCTCACCTTTCCCCATGCCCATCCGGGGCAGCCAGGGTGCGAAGTTGGACACTGTGCCTGGGTGTTGAAGGAAACTGTGTGTAACCGTGACTTTCTCCAGAGCTCGTGGCCAGTGTGGGTACATAATGTGGTTGCAGTGGCTTAAAGCCACGTGGAGGAAATTTTTAGAAATGAGACCACTAGGACGTGGGGGAGAAGAGGGAAGGGGGTCACTTCCACCGTGCATGTGTGGGTGTCTTGAATATTTTTCTCAGCAGTTTTTTCTTCATGCACGGCTATAGTAATGCCCCCAAAAAATTGGAAAATAGAAGGAAAGGGAATTCGGTTTTCCTTTTTTGTTTTTATCTGTTAGCTTGACAAAGGGACTGACTGGGGAGGTTCCTCGAGTTGCCAGGGATGGAGACGGGAGACTCTTCTACGTGGGGATGGTGAAGAAATACCCTGAGACATCCCGGGAGATCCCAGCAAGCCAAACAGTGCTGGGGAGGGGAAGGGAGGGGCAGGGAGGCCCACCGGGGTCCCAGACACAATGGGGAGACAGCCTCCACAAAGCGGGGGGTAGGGGACCCGCGGCTGTTCCAAAATAGCCCATTAACGCAGCCAAATGGGAAATCTGTGCCAAAATGGTCTCCCCTGTGTGGTGGTGATATTAAAGAACAGTCAGCCCTGGCTGCTGAGGCTCAGTTGGTTGAGCGATGACCCAGGCCAAGGGGACAATGAATATTTTCCCGCCCGTGTATTTGCTGCAGTCAACAGCCACTGCCACCTGGAGCAAGTCTGGGAACGCTTGTCCCCTTGGCCATGGGGCGAGGTGGGAATAGAGGCGTCATGGAGATGGGTCCCAGCTTTGCCCGCCAGCTGTAAGTCTCTGGGATCTTTCTGGATGCGGTTGAGGACTGTCATCAGCAGGGGCCACAGGCCGGCATGGTGACACTCGCTTTGCTGTGTCCCTGAAACAGTCATCGGTGGGGCTCCCTGCAGCCCGGATCACACTGGAAACAAACCCAGCACAGCTCCCCGTCCATTACACTGACAGCCACTTTGCAGAGCGACCGAGAGCCAGTGATGGCCAGCATGCCATGGCCTCCTGGACCAGCCTGAAAGCCACTCTGGTCCAGCTGTGCCAAGGACAGGCCCCTCTGCCCCTCCCGGTCACGGGCCACCAGGACCCCGCTTCAGGAGAGCCGTGGTGCAGGAGGTCAGCGGCTGGATGTCTCACATCCTCCAGCTCTGCCGGAGTCCAGCTGTGGGCTCCGAGGGCTGCAGTGGCATTCAGAGGCCATCACTGTTCCATCACATCCCTGTCAGGCATGGGCCGTGTGGGCGGCCATGGCAACAGTATTTGTCACACCCGGAGCGGGGGGTGTCTTGGGAAAGGGAGGGAAAGGCAAGGGGGACAGCGGTTTCTCTGGAATCCTTTAGTCTGAAAGTCAAAATGAACCCTAGAAAAATTCACTGGAGAGTCAGGAAAAGGTGGGCACCTCCCCCCCCCCCCACACACACACCTTCTCTCCCCCTAGTGACAGACACCCCCAGGGGCCGGCAGAGGCTGCTGCCGCTGCAGTCAGGGAACCACAGGTCCTCAAAGCTGAAGGTGCATCCGGTTGGGCAGCTGAGCTCTGCTGAAGCGGCCACTTACCCTCTGCAGTGTATTGCACATTCATTATCCTTTTTCTCTTTTTATGTCAGATATGGCATGAAACGTTCTTTCCTTTTGATTCCACTTTTAGATTCTGAACTAACGCTCAACCCACAGTGATCATTTTAATGCACTGTCTGCTTACAAGAGAATTAATTACACATTATAACCCCAACTCCCAGATATCCACTGTGTGAGGTCTTTGTTCCCGCCTTCTCTGTAGAGCTAGAGCGCCCCGCTCCTCGGAGGTGTATTACCTCCGTCATCAGAGGACCCGGCACTATTCTGTGGCACTAGCGTGGCATTGTTTTGTCCAGCAACCCAATATATTCCAGATCTTAGTTTCAAAGTGAGATTTGTATGACACACAATTAAAAACGTCACAAAACCCACCACATGCACGCCCGAGTTCCCCCTCCAAGCCCGGTGATGTTGAGAATGATGGGGGTGGCTGTGTTGGGGACCATAGCAGGTCTGTGTGTCTGCTCTGCAGTGTGCGACATGCCTCTGGACCACATATGCAGCTACAACAGCAGAGATCAGTGCAAGGGACTCGGGTGCTGCTTTCACGAAGGCGTCTGCAAAGAAAAGTTAGTTTCCAGTAAGTATTCGGGGCCGGGCCCACCCCAGGGGGGCAAAGCCGTGAAGGCCAGGAGGGGCCTGCCTTCCCTCCCCGGTCTCCGTCCCTGGATAGGCCTCTCACATCACCCTGGCCACATCTCTGCTTAGCGGGAACAGAGGATGTTGAGGGTCTGGGACTGAGACTGAGGCCCCAGGAAAGCCCCCTCCCAGATGGCAGACTTGCTGTGGAAGAAGACTGGCCGAGAGCCTCCTTTCTGGAAGACCTGGGTCATTGTGGGGGTGTAGCCGCTGGCGCTGGGGACTCAGCACTACAAAAGCAGCTGGTTGGGGGCAGGGCTGGCTGCTGGCTGTGCGAAAGGCCAGACCTGACCAGGTGGGGGCTGGAGAGTGTAGCTGGGGCTCTGAGGATGACGGGGACCCCTGTGCTGGGGAGAGCGGGAGGGCTGGGGAGGTCTCTGTGATCTCATCCTAATCAGAATAACTCCACAGCCCTGACACTAAGATCACTGCAGGCTGGGCTGTGCCTGTGGAGGTAGGGCCCGCAGGGACGCCTGGGGTGGGGAGGGCGCTGTGGGATCTGGGGAGAGTGCCAACCTCAAAACAGGGCTGCTTCTGGCCAGCCCTCCAGGGGAGGCTCTGGGTGAGCCCGTGCTTAGAGGGCAGGGGTGGGTGGTGGGGGTGGGAGGTGGGGGGAAGCGGGCTCAGAGGAGGATATAAACTAGATGCCTGGCCCAGAAGGGCTGCTGCTTTATATATCCTTTCTGTATATTTTCTCACACGTTAGAGCAGTGGTTCTCAACGTTTCTAATGCTGCGACCCTTTAATACAGTTCCTCATGTTGTGGTGACCCCAACCATAAAATCATTTTCGTTGCAACCCACCCACAGGTTGAGAACCGCTAGCAGGGTCACCCAAGACCATCGGAAAACACAGATATTTACATTACGATTCATAAGAGTAGCAAAATGAAGTAGCAACGAAAATAATTTTATGGTTGGGGGTCACCACAACATGAGGAACTGTATTAAAGGGTCGCGGCATTAGAAAGGTTGAGAACCACTGCTTTAGAGAAATTCCAGAGGTCTTTGTGCCTCTGGGATTTTCTAGGCTCAAAAATTTCCACTTGCGGGTTGATGGGTTTTCTTGCCGTTTGTGGCCCTTTCAGAAATGAGGTTGAATGGGCTCCAGGACTGTTTGAGGGAAGATTAAACAAGCCTGTGGGCCTGGGCAGCCTACACAAGACCTCACCACAGAGGCGGAAAGTGCCCACAGATACGAAAAACTGGCCACTGACCGGGCCAGTCTGATGCCCCTCCCTGTCCTAAGCTGCTCTCCTGTCCTCACCCCCCGAAGGGAACTCAGGTGCCCTGTGCTCTGTGGCTTGGGAGAATCTCTTCTTGTCTTGTCTTTCTCCTCGGAGTCCCAGTTCCACTGAGCCTCTCAGAGGCAAGACAGCGCATCTGCCTTCTCATCCCTGGACACAGTCAGACTAGGAAGCCAGAAACATTGGTGACCCATGAGTGTTACCAACTATCGGCCCCTGGGGCTGCCTGATCCCAGCACCCACAGCTCTAAGCCAGCTCTTTGAAGAAGTGAGTGATAATCTGGATAAAATGATTCAAGAAGCTAATGTATTGGCAGGATTTTGGCTCACCCAAAGGGAGAGCATCTGTCCAGTTTTATGGTGAAGATTTGGCACTTAAGCCAAAAAAAAAAAAAGGAAGTTTGGCTTCTCAAAAAGTGGCAGATAAGAAGTCACAATGAATGCCATTTGTAGCTGGGCTGGTTTTCTGATGACAATTTTTCCTTTAGATCTTGAATTAGATGACTTGGGACCACATCTCCTTATTGATCCCGCCCTCCACCTTCGGGAGACTCCAGCATCCCTAATGTTATTGTAAATGAAATTGTCTTCTTAAGTTTAGTTCCAAATTGTACATAGAATCCTAAATATCTACCCGAGAGAACTGAATGTTTGCTAGTCTATAGAACTAAAGTTTTGTGTATTGGTCTTGTATCCTGTAACCTTCTTCAACTCATTTATTAATGGCTTACTTAGGATTTTCTATCTGCAAAATCATACCATCTGCCTATGAGATAGTTTTACTTCTGTCTTTCTAATAGGGGCAGTTTAATTTCATTTTCTTGCCTAGTTACCCTGGCTAGAACCTCCAGTACAATGGTGAAAAGAGGCAGTGAGAATGGACATCTTCAACTTATTTTTGATTTTAGGGGCAAATTTCCAGTGTTTTACCTTTAAGTATGTTGGTAGCTATGGGTTGAGGAAGTTCCTTTCTGTTCCTAGTTTCTTAAGTGTGTTTTTTTTTTTAATCAAAGAATATTGGATTTTATCAAATTATTCCTCATGTGGATTTGTTATTGTCCAGTATCTTTCCCTTTTTTCCTGCAGGACTCCCTTTCTTGTAAGGCGTTTATGCTGATGTCACCCTGAAAGTTACTCCGAGCTGTAATGCATCTCTAGTTGTACATAATCAGGCAGAGGATTTGCAACAAGACATAGTGCTTTTCCTTAAAGGAGTTCATTATCCTCCATCTATCTCACCCTAAAACCCACAACCTTAGCCAGAATCTTATTTGAGAAATCTTTTTGAGTCCTGGGTCTTCCAATGTTGAACGGCCTATTATATTATACTAGAGGCCCCTTGCAGGAAGATTCCTGCAATAGGGCTTCCTGCTCAGTCGCTGCCCTGCCTGCTTCCCTCCCTTCTCCCCCGCCCTGCTTGCTTGCTTCCCCACAGTGATTGGCTTCTTTCTACACATCTTCAGCCTTCAATTTGGCCTGGGTATGCAAATTAACCACCATCTTGGTTGGGTTAATTTGCATGCTCGCCCTGATTGGCTGGTGGGAGGGGCTTGTGTGCGTAGTGAAGGTGCGGTCAATTTGCATGTTTCTCTTTTATTAGGTAGGATTCCAACAGCTCCCTCCCTGGAGTATGTGACACGTACTCCTGAGCTGAGTTCATTGCACTGGCTGGTGATTTGGCCAAAATTTTCTGGTTTGGGCACTTACCATCTTTTTATTTCTGCTTTGTGTATTGGTGGTTTTCACACACACACACACCCCGTTATTTGGAGAGCAGTGGATGATTACATTCAGTTCATTCATTTCCATCACAGGGTTTTCCTTCTTAGAAGACTCCAGTATCCTAGGCATTGATGCAACTTAGTTTTTCTGGGTCTTTTACCATTTGGGGGTCCTCAAAGCAGGAAACATTCACATCCAAAGGGCATTTGGGTTGTTCTTTCAATCTTCTACATATGAAGATGTAGAAGACATTCAATTCCCAGGTCAGTCACAGGATTGGACACCGTCTTCGGCCATTAACGATGCAAATTTTCTCGGATCTCAGTGAAACAGAGACAACCAGGGGAGATTGCAACCAGCAAGGGGGAGCCATCCAAGCTGCTGCTGCTTTCCCCACCTGTCCCTCTCCAAGCATCTTCTCATCAGGATTTTCCCTGGGAGTTGGCCATTTTGTAAATGTACCACAAACATTGTTAAAACCAGTATAATCACCTTATTTATGCCTGTTATTCATTTGAAAAATGAGTAACACCGTACAGCACCTTAATTATTGGTGTCTTAATTTTTGGCTCTCCCCTCACCCGCCATGAGCTCTCAAGAACGTTTTCTACTCGAAAGAGTCCCCTGTTCTGTAAGTGGATGTGTCATTTTTGCACAGAGGTGAGCGCTAATCCTCTTTTCATCCTTTCAACCTTCATGAGCTGCGTGGGCCGGGCTCTTTCTCGCCTCTGACTTCTTTCATGTTGGTGCGGGCGAGCCATCTGTGGGAAGGGTCTGGGCAGTGAGCCCTGCGTTTGGGTTCTCACTGAGCCCTCAAATTACTTTTCATTTCTTTGACGTCTTACTCACCGAAGACGGTGACTGAACCTTTGTGCTGGGTAAGTTGTAGTATTCGGTGACAGGGTATTATGAGTTCTTTGTGCGCCTAATTCCATGTTATGAAAACCTTTCACCAACTTCTTAAATTGGCTGGCTTGAAGTGCACATTGTGCTGCGACATAATCTGTATGATTAAAAATGTGAACTCGGGGAATTAGCATTAGGTCTTTAAGAAACAATCAGAGAGAGTGACTTGCCTTCACCCTTCAGCCTTGACTTAGGCACATTATGGAACATGTCATGTCTCCCCAGTGTACGGCTTCCGTTTCCCCATGAAACATGCTGAGCTGATTGTAAAACGTGTTTCCTTATATTTGGAGGAGAATTTCTCCAGAGACTTCTTGAAGAAAATAATGCTGTCTTTCAATTGCTGCTGTTTCTGAAGGATCATTATATACGGTTTATTAAAAACCATACATATTGTTTATAACAAGTACTGTGTTGGCCAGACTCTGCACACAGGCTCAGTCTCTGCCTCCAGGAGCTTGACCTCAAGGACCAGAAATACCTGCACATATGAAGATATAGACCAGTGGTACTCAAGCTTTCTAACGCCAAGACCCTTTAATACAATTCCTCATGGTGTGGTGACCCCCCCAATCATAAAATTATTTTCGTGGCTACTTCATAACTGTAATTTTGGTCTTAGGCTCTACAGCAGTAGTTCTCAATCTGTGGGTCAAGAACTGCTAGCAGAGTTGCCTAAGACCCTCTGAAAACACAGATATTTACATTATGATTCATTAACAGTAGCAAAATTACAGTTATGAGGTAGCCACGAAAATAATTTTATGGTTGGGGGGTCACCACAACATGAGGAACTGTATGAAAGGGTTGTGGCATTAGAAAGGTTGAGAACCATTGATATAGAAGATATACTGATGGTCAAATCCTGACATATTGTCTAACTATGTGTCTCTCTCTAACCAGACTTCACTATTATTAATTCTGAATTTATTTCATGAACCAAGACACAAGATCCCACTCAGGGATACACATTCTCTGGATTTCAAAACTTTGAGGTTTACCCTCTGGTCCCTTAAAATCTTCTCAGTTCACTCTTTCAAATATAGTGAACTTTATTTGTTCATTTCAATTCGTTTCGTTCAACATCGTTTAAAGTGTGCCTTCTCTTACCCCTAGGAGAAAGCTCCGGGGGCATGGAGAGGGACAGAGAATTTAAACTATAATAACTAATGCTTCTAGGCAGGGGAAGGTAAGACAGAGGCCACCTCCTAAGAGTCATTTTGAAGGCCCTGATTCTTCAATTGGGGGTGGGTTATGAGAAGATAGAAGCAATGAAGTCCAGGGAAAACCCTTGGTAATACAGAAAAACTCAGTCAATGTAAGCTGAAATCAGACCAATGGAATTGAACACCAAAAAGCATTTTCAGATTCACTTTCAGGGAGTTGGGGGCAGGGTGAGGTGCCAGATGGCAGGAGGCCCAATGCCGCTGTTTCCTGGGGGACAGACAAGGGACCCCCTCTGCAGGCTCCCCTCAGCGGCAGTCCTCTGTCGTCCGGGAGCCACGACCACCACCCCGAGTCCCTTTCATGTGGAGCCTTGGTCTGTGTGTGGGTGACGGTGTTCCCAGGGCGGTGTTTCGGGAGGGGAGTGGCCAGTGCTCAGGGGTGAGCTGGGCGGAGAAGGGCTGCAGGGTGGAGGGCCCGCCCACCTCAAAAAGGAGGAAGAAGACTGCCTTGTTGTAATTAACCCAAGTGATGGTAAATGGACATTGTTTTTCAGCTTATATGCACGTGTTTTGTGCCTTCATCCTGATCGTTGCCGGGGCCTTTATTTTCATTACTGTTTACAGGTCAGTCATTCTGTTCTACGTAGAATTGTGGTGGGAGAGGAGCAGGGAGAGGACTCCCCTCCTTGGCTCAGTGCTACTGGGGCCTCGTGGACTGCTTGTGAGGCCTGAGGGGCCACCTTCTCCCCCCTCTCCCCCAGAACTTTTCCCCCTCCCCCCCACCAGAGCTTGACAATAATACCAGCCAGCCTTTCATAAGCACGGATCATTTCACTCCACAGTCCTCCTACAAGGAGCAGGTGGGGGCTGTCTGCAGAGCTCAGACTCCAGGCCAACCACACCCTTTCCTTCTGTGATAAAGCCCTGTCATCTCCATGCTCTCAGACACAATCCCCTTTCCCCCTAGTTTCCATGGTGACGACATGCACACTCAGCAAGGCTACCTAGGCTGCTTGCTGCCCCCTGGCAGGACTGGAATTCAGCTTTCCCCCTGGGGGGGGGGTGGTGGTGCGGTGGGCTTCCACTATGAGTCTCCCTGAGACCAGCATAAAGCCCCTGCGGTTAGTTGAGGCACCTTGTCCAGCAACAAGGACAACTGTCTTCCTCTCTGAGTGGTGCTGGGTGGTGTCTTGAGTGACCGACCCGGCGGTCACCCGCCCACAGTGCACACCTTCCCACTCCTGCTGCTGTCCTGAGGAGTCTGGCTGCCACACGCAGACGTCTGCTCAGGGCAGGTAGAAGGAACTCACCTGGGAGATCCCAAGGCCTAAAGCGTTTGCCCTGACAGATTTTCTACACGCATGATCATGAGCCCTACCTACCCTTTTAGGGGGGAGCCCTGGCGCTCCGTCATTTTCCATCTTTAATTTCTCTGATTCTGACAAGAACTCTCTTTTCCCTTCAGGGTTGTTCAGGAAAGGAAGGAAAAGGAAGCCGCTATGGAATTGCCTTTGTCATTCAAGTCCGGAGAGAACGTCGTGGCGGCCCCCATTGCCCGCAGGCTGGCAGTGTGGAAGGCTCGGACTGCCAGAGCACTGCCGTGTGCCGGATGTGGCGGGCACACCCTTAAGAGTAAGAGTCGGGATTGCCCAGCCTCAGGGTTCAGGGCTCAGCTTTCTTCCCTCGACACATCTGACGGGTGAAAGATACCCAGTCAGCAGCCACATTAGCCTTTTAGCAGATGTTGCACTTTTTTCTTTCTTTTTTTTCAGTTTGGACTAACTCTATTCTTTCCAACTAGGAGGGTCTAGCATGTTCCTGCTCTAAAGGCACATTTCCCTCCATAACTATCGTCTTTTATCTTTCTCCTCCTATCTTTGCTTCTCTGTCATCCCTCCCTCTCTTGCTGGTCCAGCTGCGTGCTGGGCAGGGGAGAAGGGGTGGCGGCGATGTTGGGGTGTATCTGCAGCCTTGGCAAATGTGATTCAGTGGCTTCCTGGCAGTGGTGCCTGACAACATTCCTGTTTGTGGCTCCCTGACTGCTCGGTGGCCCTGGCTGAAGAGGTGTAAACACAACAGCTAAACTTCCAACGCCTCCGGCTTTCAGGAAGCAAAGTCACTTGTATGTGATTAACTCTGAGGGGGACTTGGCAGTTGCTTGGTGCTTTTCACAGTCAGCAACTTGCTAGGTAGAGAAAGAAACATCTCAGTGGTCAGCTCAGTCTTAGGTGATATTGTTTGGAAACATGGTCTAGGTCTCTTATTATCCACTAGAGGCTCGGTGTATTAAATTCATGAAGGCTGGGGGCGGGGTGCGTCCCTTAGCCTGGCCTGCACCCTCTCGCAGTCCGGGAGTCCTCGGGGGATGTCTGATTGACAGCTTAGGCCCACTCCCCATGGGACGTCCTTAGTGCTGCTAAGGACTAAGGACGTCCCATGGGGAAGGTGGGAAAGGCTCCACCACCTTCGCTGCTCTCGCCAGCTGTGAGCCTGGCTTCTGGCTGAGCGGCGCTCCCCCTGTGGGAGTGCACTGACCATCAGGGGGCAGCTCCTGTGTTGAGCAGGATTGGGCCAAACTGGCTCTCTGACATTACCCAAGGAGTCCCAGATTGCGAGAGGGTGCAGGCCAGGCTGAGGGACCCCACCAGTGCATGATTGGGGCCAGGGAGGAATGGAGGAGGTTGGCCAGCTGGGGAGGGACCATTGGAGGGCTCTAGGGCATGTCTGGCCAGTCTCCCTCAGTCCTGATCAGCCAGATCCCAGCAGCAAGCTAGCCTACCAGTCAGTGCATCTGCCCCCTGGTGGTCAGTGCATGTCATAGCAAGTGGTTGAATGGCCTTAGCATATCATTAGCATATTATTGATATACTTTTTATTTAAAATATATTTTATTGATTTTTTACAGAGAGGAAGAGAGAGGGAGAGTTAGAAACATCGATGAGAGAGAATCATCAATCAGCTGCCTCTTGCACACCCCCTGCTGGGGATGTGCCCGTAACTAAGGTACATGCCCTTGACCAGAATCGAACCAGGGACCTTTCAGTCTGCAGGTCGATGCTCTATCCACTGAGCCAAACTGGTTTTGGCGCATATTATACTTTGATTGGTTGAACAGACGACCGGACAACTGGACACTTAACATATTAGGCTTTTATTTTATAGGATGAGTCACAAAGACTGGGTTTTATTGTGGCAAATAGGAAAAGGGAGAGGCTGGGAGAAGCGGCCTGCCCAAAGGTCTTTGAGGATTTCAGTGCTCGCCCCTAACTGAGGCTATGTCTGTGCACAGAGTGCGATGTCACCTCCTCGGGGTGCTTTCTGCACAGTGAGGCCATGAAAGGCGGACACTGTTCTCCCCCAGGAAGCTCTTTCTCTCCCAGGAGTGAGTAGAGAGATAGGGCAACACAAACCCACCTACCAAACATAACTGAGTAAATCATGGCCCATTGTATGCCATAAAGATACGTTCACAGACCGTGAGGGAATTTCCTTGGCATTGCTGACTATTCCATTAAAAAAAGCACCACTTAACCTTGCCCAGTAGGTTGAACATAGTCCCATGTACCAAGAAGTTTCAGGTTTGATTCCAAGGCAGGGCACATACCCAGGTTGCTGCCTCAGTCCCTAGTAGGGGAATGTGCAGGAGGTAGCTGATCAATATTTCTCTCTCTCTCTCTCTCTCTCTCTCAAATCAGTTAAAAATATATCATTCTTAAAAAACACAAACACTTATTGTTGTTTTAAATTCAGCAACAGTGACGATAAAGAATACTGAAGAAACTAAGGGTTGAAATGCATAATGAAGAAAACATGAAGATTGGAAGAAATATCCAAACAAAATGGTACCATTATGAACCACTCTTAAACAATAAAAGTATTTTAAATGCTTCGGTTCTGTGTTGTCTTAGTCAATGCTGCATTTTTGTCTCAGAGGAGAGAAAGCCAATTGGAGGGTGAGAACATTACCAGAAACTATGATTTAACACACACACACACACACACACACACACACACACACACACTCATTTCAGAGAGGAAGGGAGAGGGACAGATATAGAAACATAAATGATGAGAGAGAATTGTTGATTGGCTGCTTATTGCATGCCCCTACTGGGGATTGAGCCCACAACCCAGGCATGTGCTCTGACTAGGAATCAAACTCTGACTTCCTGGTTCATAGGTTGACTCTCAACAACTGAACCACGCTGGTTGGGCAGGCTTTGATTTTTTTTTTTTTATGACACTATTTGCTAGTGATACCAAAATCAAGGCACTTATAGCATTGACACAAGATGATGTCACTGAAGCCCCCTTGTCAAAAGACAGGCTACACTTTCACAGGATAGAATTGCCATTGAGACTTGCAGGAAATTCTGCACTTGCCCAGCAGTAAGCTGTGCTAATGAGAGGAGCAGCATCATGTTCTGTGAGGCCCAGAACCATCCAATGCAACTTCCTCAAAGTCTGTTGTCCAGGTAAGGATGCACATATGTTCCAGAGTGCTTGACAATGCTGACTATGGCTGATGCAAGCCAGCCCAGTTGAGTCTGGTTTTCACTTTAAAAAAAAAAATATTTTATTGATTTTGTACAGAGAGGAAGGGAGAGAGATACAGAGTTAGAAACATCAATGAGAGAGAGTCATCAATCAACTGCCTCTTGCACATCCCCTATTGGGGATATGCCCGCAACCAAGGTACATGCCCTTGACCAGAATCGAACCCGGGACCCATCAGTCCCCAAGCTGACGCTCTATCCATTGAGCCAATCTGGTTTTGGCTAACCAAAGATCTTATATGCATACTAGAGTCCCTTGGTCTGCCCGTCCCGCACCCTGTCACAATTTGGGACCCTTTGGGGAATGTTGTACTGCTGGTTTCAGCCCAATCCCCACAGGCCAGGTTGAGGGACCCCACTGGACCCAGTATGTATGTATGTATGTATATATATTTGAGGGCCTCTAGTATATATATATCACATATGTAGGAGCCCCTAGACACCCTCATTTATTTTTTAGTTGCTAAATTCTATGCATGTGGGCAAGGCAATTTTGGTCAAGATCTTACTGCCCAGGCTTCTTGGAGAAGGGAGGGTGAGGGAGGGTGAGGGATAGAGGCTGGTCCTTTCCTTCTCACACACGTCCTCCTGACCTTAGTCATTGGCCCTTATGTTGGTTTAGGTCAGATGTCAGCACACTTTTTATAATGGACCAGAAAAGACTATTTAAGGCTTTGTGGGCCAGAGTTCTGACAGCTCTTCAACTCTGCTGGTGTAGTATTAAGGTGGCCACAGACAATGGAAATGCATGAATGTGGCCAAGTTTCAATAAAACTTTATATAAAATCAGGTGATGGGTTGGAATTGGCCTGCAAGCTGTGGTTTGTCAACCGCTATTTTTCCCCCCTTTTCTTTTTCTAGAAGTTTCGTAGTCAAAAGCCTCTGATGGTCAATTTATTCCTATAGCTTATTGAAATTGTACCCACTTGACTTTGTAAACAGCCAATACCTGGATTTCCCATGCTGGGATTCCATTCCCAGGAGTTATTAATTCATCTGTGTCTTGCAAAGGACAGCCCTCAGAGAGCTTTTCAAGGGTGCATTTTTCATGCCAACGTGAATGGGATGTGTTGTTGGCTCTCTTGCAGAGGTGTGGTTGCATGGAGGGCTTATCAGAGATCCATCAGCATCCTCTATACCAGTGGTTCTCAGCCCCAAAGAACATTTGGCAATGTTTGGAGACATTGTGGGCTGTCAAAACGGGGGAAGGCACTGCTGGCGTCTAGTAGGTGGTAAACACCCTGTAGTGCACAGGACAGCCCACAGCAGAGAATCATCCAGATGATTGTAGTGCTGTATAGTTGTCTGACAGTGTTCATGTAACAAAAGCAATATTTTTATAAAGAGTTGTTATACTTTTAAAAAGTCAAAATATGTAAACACGTTATATTCATATGTGAATCAGTTATAATTTCTGGCCAGGCACTGACCTGGGGTACATACAGAGAAAGAGGGGAGAGAAAAAGAAAAGAAATCCTAGACCGCCCATCATTGAGAAAGGGATAGGAGTAGAACTTAGGGTTGCATATGCCGTGGGTGACTGGTAAGCTCGAGCATCATTTCTAACACCATTTCTGGCTGGGCCTGTGGTGCCAGCACTCCCCTTCAGCAGAGGAACTGTACACAAAATGTGCTGAGTGAGCTCATGTTTCACCGGAGAGGAGTGGAGCTGATTCCTGGGCTGGGACTTGTCTCAGAGGTTGTTTAGTCAGGAGCCTGGTTGTTTGACTGTCAGGGAAAAAGAGAATGTTGATGCTTCCAGTTCCCAGGCACACGGCTTGGCTTGGCTTGGCTCAGGACAAGCCACTGCTGTATTGTCCAAGCCTTTTACTTTCTTCACTTAATTTTCCTATTTTCAACCAAATATTTGACCCTTTCATCATATTTCATGTTATCCTGAGCTGAGCAGAAGCAATAATGCTGAGAGAATGATTTAAGATTTTTGAGGGAAAACTATCAGAATCCAGAAGTAGCACTTTAAATATTATCAGTTTTATCATACAGGTTCAAAAAATTCTCCTGTAATTAATACGACATATTATTATTTTGCCATGGTAACCTAGGCTGGATATAGCTCTTGTCTGTATTTCTATGATAGTTGGGGAATATACCAAATTCCCCATAGGATATATAGCAAATCACTCCCCAACTCTCACTCCTTCTGAAAACCATTAGTATATATAATTAATACTCTCAGAGATTTCCCCAAAGCATTTTTAGCCTTTTATTTCAACTACTCTTCTATGCAATATTTCACCAGGAACAATAATGATGAGCAAAGTTGACTATTATACCACCAGGCTGTAACAAGGTGCCCCTGCTGCTGGGGAGTAGGTAGGTGGGGTTTGAGGGGGTGAGTGGGAGGTTAGAGAAGGCCAAGTGAGGCATCAGGACTTTCATACCTTGTGAGGTCATGAGCCCCTCTCCTACCCCTGTGGTATCAGTGAAGAACACATGGAAAGCCCAATTTCTACCCTATTTGATTAGATTTTCACTACTACCCAGTGCTTCTACCCCCTCTCCCCCCGACATAAACATACACACACACACAGTCAGTAGAGGCCATATGAGGAAGAGTGACAAAGCACCCCTCTTCCTCCCAGTTGGAGTGGTATCAAAGGGGATTAAGAGGAGAAGCTGGATTTCTGTTCTAGGCCAGCAGCAAAAGCCCCAAAGTCTCCCATTTCATGGTATCATGGAAGTTGAGAGAGGAAGCTGGATTTCTAACCCCATCTGGCAATGACAAGGTGATGCCTCCCAACTCTCACCAGCACAGTGTCAGAAGAAGGTGCTGAAACACAAGACTTAAATAAGATCCAGAATCTAATGGCATAATAGCCAAGTGATCCAAGATTCAATTGAAAGTCCTCATTGTGCCAAGAACCAGGAAAATCTCCCCTTGAATGAGACAGGATGCTGGCCTGATCACTCCCAGCTGCCCTCCCCTGCTGGCCTGGCTGCACCCAACTGCCCTCCTCTGCTGGCATCTTGTGGCGGCCATCTTGTGGAGGCCATCTTATGATTACATTGTGCGTGATTCCACCTACGCTTTTATTATAAAGGATCAGTAAATAAATAAGTCTCCTGTTGGTTCTCTTTATTTGGAGAACCCTGACCAATATACCCATACGTAATAAAGAAGTTGGTCTCAGCCCAAAGAAAGGTTTGGCCTTTATCCCCATTCTGGGAAGTAACCTCTGAATTTGGGAGGTAACCTTGGAATTTCCCACATAACAGGAGTGTCTTTGTGACTTATAGTGAGTCCCTAGATAGTTTATACTAATGAGAGGAGTCACAATGGGAATGGGTCATACCAGAAAGGACAACCAGCTGATATCAGCCCCATCTCTGGGAGGGAAGAGGCCTGATGATTGAATTCAACCACATGGTCATCAATTCACTCAATCATGGCTCTAGAAAGAAGCCCCAATAACCAATCTGGACACTGAAGCTGGGCTGAGCATCCCTGGTTGTTGACCTACTTTGTGCTTGAATCCTAAACATGGAAGCCTTACCTGTGGGACCCTCCCACTTCACCCTTCCTTTTGCTCGTTCTGATTTGCATTCTTTTGTTACGATAAAACTGAAACTAATAATTATAGTACTTCCCTGACTTCTGTGAGTTGTTCTAGCAAATTATGGAACAAGAATGTGATGGTGAAGACCCCGAATGTGCAACCAGCTGGTCTGAGGTGTGTGGCCGATCTGGGGACCCCCTGTCTTTTTGACTGGTACCTGATGTGAGAGCAGTCTTGTGGAAATTGGTCCCTCAGATTGTGCAGTTTGGCTGAAGTCCCTTGGGCCCCCTGACACTGCAACAATTTTACTGACTGGCTCCACCCCCTGGCTGGGCTGAGAGGTAGATTTATACATGTAGGCAAAGATTTGCTCTGGTGCTCAGGATAGGGGACAATAGACCCACCTCCTTCCTTCCGCACATCATACTGCAAAGGGACAGGCCTGCTTGGTCATCTCAATGTACACAGAAAGGAAGAGTGAGCCAAGATCATGCAAAAAGAAAGACTCTGGCTCTCGTTGGTTTGGCCTTCAGACTGAAGGGTCCCAGGTTTGATTCTGGTCAAGGGCACATGCCTGGGTTGCGGGCTTCAACCCCAGTAAGGGACGTGCAGGAGGCAGCCAATTAATGAATCTCTGTCATCATTGATGTTTCTTTCTCTCTTTTCCTCTCCCTTCCCCTCTGAAATCAATAAAAATATATTTATAAAATAAAGACT